TTGAGGCCAAATAGTTTTTAAAGTAAGGGAGCTGAGATTTGGAAGGGAAGTAGGAAAGCAGCGATGCCTCAGAGATTTCATATCCTGTACATTTGTTGACAGTGGTGTGAAGGAAGCAGGGAGAGCCCAGGTTTAAGGGAGGAAATGGTCTTCCATCCCCAGTGGGAAGAAGTTCAGCTCTGTTGATATAAGCCTTTCCCTAGGCATGAACGTGAGCACAGGGCTGGGGGCACTGTCTCCGACATAGCAAAAGATCTCAAGGCTGGATGTGTCCTGGATCTAATTGCATCTCAGGCCTTAGAACAGGCCACGTGGAACCTGGAGTCTCAGGATCTGTTCATCTAGAGACTAGAGGGTGTTTGGGGTAGTGGAATGAGGCCTGGACTCCTCCGAGTCTGGTCTCATTGGTCAAGACTGGAAAATCCTAACTTAAACTCGTAAGCAGAACCTGCAGTTCTTAGTCTCATCTCCACCCTGGTCACCACACCATGGGGTGCAGAAGTGCTGTGGTGCTCAGTAGATAATTCATTTACATAACAGTTGCTATACACACAAGCCACTGTCCCAGATGCTTTATGAATATTGGCCTATTTAACCTTTAGAATAGCAGTTGAGGAAACAGGCTCAGAATCAAAGCCTAAGCTTTGGACAAGTGGTAAATGGAACTGGGGTTCAGACTCAGGAGGTCTGGCTTCCAGGTCTGTATTTTTATCCATTATGCCATAAAGAAACGTGAGACTCCCAACGGAGGGCTGCAAAAGCTTATGGGTTCTCTACAAAGCCTTTAGTCTTAGTCCTTTCTGAGATCAGATAGTGGATCTCTTTGGGACCTTCTGGTTTCTCTGACTTTCGCTACAGAGAAGTTTGGTGGGAACCTTAGAAAATGTCTAATTCAGGGATAGCTAGTAGATTTCATTGATTAGTGGGGGAATGGCACTGAAGCTCTGTGTTGGAAATGATTCTGAGGCCATGTCCAGGCACATTGGGAAGATACGCTGTGACCGACGTGCAGTTTCTGTTGCAGTGCAGCTTGGATGCTATGTATTTGCCATTTGATTCGCCTAAACTGGCCTTTTACTGAATGGAAGCTGGGAATCAAAAAGGGCCAGTGACTTGCTCACGTTCACACAGTGATTTGGCTGCAGGAGAAATCTCATCTCTGCAGGCTTTCAGCTTAGTGCCCTCGCCATGCTGTTCTTGGGGGCACATCCCCCATTCTGTTTGTTGATGTGGTTAGATGGCTATTTAATCTCCTTTCCTCATCTGAATCATCAGGGCGGAGAATATCTATTGTTTACCTTTGCCTATTCACACAGAATCTAGTGTATATCAGGTGCTTTATGAATATATATTTTAAAAGAAGGATGAATAAACAAATTGAGCCAGGTCTACATATGTGCATCTTATAGGAAATGGCTGAAATATCATGGTTAGTTGTGGAGACAGTCATTGATTAGAAATTTTCTATATTTCTTTTTTTTTTTGAGATGAAGTCTTGCTCTGTCGCCAGGCTGGAGCGCAAGTGGCAGATCTCAGCTCACTGCAAGCCCTCTGCCTATCCCAGGTTTACCCATTCTCCTTGCCTCCAGCCTCCTGATAGCTGGACTACAGGCACCGCCTAAAAAAAAAAAAAAAAAAAAAAAAAAAAAAAAAAAAAAAAAAAAATCGCCGCTAGTTTTGTATTTTTTGTTTGTTTGTGTTGTTTTGTTTTGTTTTTGAGATGGAGTCTCCTCTCTGTGGCCAGGCTAGAGTTGCAGTGCCGGATTCTGCCAGCTCTCACTGCAAGCTCCGCCTTTCCGGGTTTACCGCCATATCTCCGCTCAGCCTCAAGAGTAGCTGGGGACTAAGGCGCGCCCGCCACCACGCCCGCTAGTCTTTTGTATTTTTTTGTTATATGGCGGGTTTTAACCGTGTTAAGCCCCAGGAAATGTCTCGATCTCCTGACCTCATGATCCGCCCATCTCGGCCTCCCAAAGTGCGGGGATTACAGGCTTGAGCCACCGCACCTGGCCAGAAATTTTCTATATTTCTTATCATCAATAACAATGTTATGTAAACCCTTCAAGTTAAATGATAACAGTTGTTATTAGGAAGAATCTCAGAAAGCAAGTTGTTTATGGGCAGAGTGAGTCGGAAAGAAATAATGCTTACTTCTTGTTTTTGTGGAGACTAGCCAACCTGCCATGTTGTTTCTAGGAGCCTTACAGGAAGTGTCTGTACTCTTCCAGCAAGTATTGAGTTCCTACCTACATTAGTCTGTATATGCCAACTGCTATCATAAACAGTCCAGCAGACTAATTAAATAAAAGTTTATTTCTTGCTCATGTTACAGTCCATTGTGGGTCAGTAGTGGGATGATGGTGTGTGTGTTGGGATCTTCCATGTACTCATTCAGGAACCAGGCCTGTTTCTATCTTGGATGCCACCGTTTTCAGCACAAGGCCTCCAAGCTTGATACAAAAAGGGAGAGGCAGAGGAGGATTGGGAGATTTTTGTGGATCAGTTCTGAAAATGGTACAAATTACTTTCACCCACATTCCATGGCCAGCATCAAGTAACCTGGCTCCAACATAATGACAAAGGGATAGAAAATATACATCATCTGTATGCCCAGGAAGAAAAAGGAATAGGTTTTGTGACCACATCACTTCTTTGACACAGTATCATATGCCAAGTCCTGGGCTAGGCTTGGAGGGAGGGAATGAAGATGACCGTGATTGCAGAAGTCTCAGAACTCAAAGAGGGACTAAAAAAAAGTAAAGGAGAATTGCAATACAACCAGATGAATGAAATTTGGTAGCAACATAATTAGAGACCTTAAATGTCCTCCTGTTGCCCCCTGTTGAATATGAAGAGCCTATTTTAAAAATATTTAAAAATGTTTTTCAAAGCAACACATGTATATATTGATTTAAAAAACTGAACAGTACAGGAAGGATCTGTAGGACATAAACCTTCTGAGTTCATGCTTGTCTGAAGAGGTCATTATTTAGCCCTCATACTTGATTGATATTTTTATTGTGTATAGAATTCTACAATGGTATATAAAAACATATATTTTTTTTTTTTTTTTGAGACGGAATCTCGCCCTGTCGCCCAGGCTAGAGGGCAGTGGTGCGATCTCGGCTCACTGCAAGCT